CTAATACAAACATGTGTATACTCCTAAGTGCGTGTGTTTTGTACACGAATGGATGAACAAACAAGTATCTTTATATCAACATGCATCACTTTTATTTCCACATATGGCACTGCACTCGACCGCCTTCACTGTCCCAACTGTAAAGTTTACTGTGAGTACACTGGGCGCGAACTAACGACCCATAGGGCAGGACAAGAGAGCTATATCCAACTGACCACCACACCGTACAGACACATATATATTACTAAAGTAACACATAAAATTTTATCAATCAACGCACAGGTACACATCTAAACTCACAGTCCTTATATAAGACATCTAGTTGGTCCGATACAGAAGTCTACAGGTACGTCTATTAACGTATCAACACCACAGTTTGTCTCTTCTGAGCCAAGTGTTAAAGTGGCGATTTTCTTGTCTCACCTCAGACGACTGATTATGAAGATTTATGGTTCTGTGATTCTGTGATCCAAACAAAAGAAGAGTCCAGCTCCAACAACCAGCCTCACTGTGGTCTAAACAAGAGATGAGTCCAGCTTCAACAACCAACCTCACTGTGGTCTAAACAAGAGAAGAGTCCAGCTCCAACAACCAGCCTCACTGTGGTCTAAACAAGAGATGAGTCCAGCATCACTAACCAGCCTCACTGTGGTCTAAACAAGAGAAGAGTCCAGCTCCAACAACCAGCCTCACTGTGGTCTAAACAAAAGATGAGTCCAGCTTCAACAACCAGCCTCACTGTGGTCTAAACAAGAGAAGCTCCAACAACCAGCCTCACTGTGGTCTAAACAAAAGATGAGTCCAGCTTCAACAACCAGCCTCACTGTGGTCTAAACAAGAGAAGAGTCCAGCTCCAACAACCTGCCTCACTGTGGTCTAAACAAGAGATGAGTCCAGCTCCAACAACCAGCCTCACTGTGGTCTAAACAAGAGATGAGTCCAGCTCCAACAACCAGCCTCACTGTGGTCTAAACAAGAGATGAGTCCAGCTTCAACAACCAGCCTCACTGTGGTCTGAACAAGAGATGAGTCCAGCTTCAACAACCAGCCTCACTGTGGTCTAAACAAGAGATGAGTCCAGCTCCAACAACCAGCCTCACTGTGGTCTAAACAAGAGATGAGTCCAGCATCACTAACCAGCCTCACTGTGGTCTAAACAAGAGATGAGTCCAGCTTCAACAACCAGCCTCACTGTGGCCTAAACAAGAGATGAGTCCAGCATCACTAACCAGCCTCACTGTGGTCTAAACAAGAGATGAGTCCAGCTTCAACAACCTGCCTCACTGTGGTCTAAACAAGAGACAGTCCAGCACACTAACCAGCCCCACCAGTCTAAACAAGATGAGTCCAGCATCACCAACCAGCCTCACTGTGGTCTAAACAAGAGATGAGTACAGCTTCAACAACCAGCCTCACTGTGGTCTAAACAAGAGATGAGTACAGCTTCAACAACCAGCCTCACTGTGGTCTAAACAAGAGATGAGTACAGCTTCAACAACCAGCCTCACTGTGGTCTAAACAAGAGATGAGTCCAACAAAACTAATCTGCCTCACTGTGGTCCAAACAAGAGAAGAGTCCAGCTCCAACAACCAGCCTCACTGTGGTCTAAACAAGAGAAGAAACCAGCTTCAACAGCCAGCCTCACTGTGGTCTAAACAAGAGAAGAAACCAGCTTCAACAACCAGCCTCACTGTGGTCTAAACAAGAGAAGAGTCCAGCTCCAACAACCAGCCTCACTGTGGTCTAAACAAGAGATGAGTCCAGCTCCAACAACCAGCCTCACTGTGGTCTAAACAAGAGAAGAAACCAGCTTCAACAACCAGCCTCACTGTGGTCTAAACAAGAGAAGAAACCAGCTTCAACAACCAGCCTCACTGTGGTCTAAACAAGAGAAGAGTCCAGCTCCAACAACCAGCCCCACTGTGGTCTAAACAAGAGATGAGTCCAGCTCCAACAACCAGCCTCACTGTGGTCTAAACAAGAGAAGAAACCAGCTTCAACAACCAGCCTCACTGTGGTCTAAACAAGAGATGAGTCCAGCTCCAACAACCAGCCTCACTGTGGTCTAAACAAGAGAAGAAACCAGCTTCAACAGCCAGCCTCACTGTGGTCTAAACAAGAGAAGAAACCAGCTTCAACAACCAGCCTCACTGTGGTCTAAACAAGAGAAGAGTCCAGCTCCAACAACCAGCCTCACTGTGGTCTAAACAAGAGATGAGTCCAGCTCCAACAACCAGCCTCACTGTGGTCTAAACAAGAGAAGAAACCAGCTTCAACAACCAGCCTCACTGTGGTCTAAACAAGAGAAGAAACCAGCTTCAACAACCAGCCTCACTGTGGTCTAAACAAGAGAAGAGTCCAGCCCAAATTTCCAAACTGGAAGCCTCACTGTGGTCTAAACAAGAGATGAAGTCCAGCTTCAACAACCAGCCTCACTGTGGTCTAAACAAGAGAAGAGTCCAGCTCCAACAACCAGCCTCACTGTGGTTCAAACAAGAGAAGAGTCCAGCTCCAACAACCAGCCCCACTGTGGTCTAAACCAGATAGAAGAAATAACAAATGTCCAGCTTCAACAAACCAGCCTCACTGTGGTCTAAACAAGAGATGAGTCCAGCTCCAACAACCAGCCTCACTGTGGTCTAAACAAGAGATGAGTCCAGCTTCAACAACCAGCCTCACTGTGGTCTGAACAAGAGATGAGTCCAGCTTCAACAACCAGCCTCACTGTGGTCTAAACAAGAGATGAGTCCAGCTCCAACAACCAGCCTCACTGTGGTCTAAACAAGAGATGAGTCCAGCATCACTAACCAGCCTCACTGTGGTCTAAACAAGAGATGAGTCCAGCTTCAACAACCAGCCTCACTGTGGCCTAAACAAGAGATGAGTCCAGCATCACTAACCAGCCTCACTGTGGTCTAAACAAGAGATGAGTCCAGCTTCAACAACCTGCCTCACTGTGGTCTAAACAAGAGAAGAAACCAGCTTCAACAACCAGCCTCACTGTGGTCTAAACAAGAGATGAGTACAGCTTCAACAACCAGCCTCACTGTGGTCTAAACAAGAGATGAGTACAGCTTCAACAACCAGCCTCACTGTGGTCTAAACAAGAGATGAGTACAGCTTCAACAACCAGCCTCACTGTGGTCTAAACAAGAGATGAGTCCAACAAAACTAATCTGCCTCACTGTGGTCCAAACAAGAGAACAAACAACATCACTACGATTGAAATCTGAGTCAATATCGAAACAAACATGAATACGACGCATCAACCATTCAACAGCATGGAGAAGCACTGTAGTTCTCCTCGACGCGAACGTGTGTATGTATGGCAACCTGTGTTGTAATGTTCAGCATCCTCGCCTCGCAAGCGAGTGGACCCGAGTTCGATCCCCGGGCAAGGTGAAACTATGGACAAGTTTCTTTACGCCATTTGCCTCTGTCTACCCAGCAGTAATTGGGAACCTGGATGTTAATCGATTTGCAGATCGTATTCCGGGGTAATGGTCAGCCAGTGCAGTTGGCGAGTTGTCCGGTCTTCTTGGACTATTCCTTGACACTGGGTCATGCAGCTCGTTAATTCAGGGTGTGGTTGTTGTGTTGGCGACAGCTTCTACACTTTAAAGTAATTCACGCCTAGGTGGCCCTTGGGCCGGCCATCCTCGATTTCGAGGGGCTTTCATTATTATGTATGTATGTATGTATGTGTGTGTGTGTGTGTGTGTGTGTGTGTGTGTGTGTGTGTGTGTGTGTGTGTGTGATACATCTTGGTCGGGAATTGAAATTATGACCTACTGGCTGACACACCAACATTCAAATCAACAGACAGATGAACAGGGAACTAAAATATGTCCCTCCCTCCCTCCCTCCTCCTGTACCATTACCAGTCTGACGAAAAAACATGATGCTTTTTTAAGATATGCTCAATGAAGTTGCCTACAGAGTTGCTGCAAATATCACGGTAAATCTGTGAACTGAGAAAGAGAGAGACCTACAACTGCCGCTACACAGCGTAACACACATCCTCCTCCCTGCCGAACACATCCCACTCATCGATAAATAATAATGAAGACGTCGCATATCACAAATACATTATTGAGGCCACACACTCAACCCTCACACACAAAGCGTCGATCCCTTTCCCTCAGCTCCTCCCAGCATCAGGTGTCGACCTCTCTCCCCTCTCTCTCAGCCCCTGCCAACACCCAAGCCTCGACTCCTCTCTCAGCCTTTCCCAGTACACCCAACACACTCACCAAATGTCGACCTCTCTCCATCAGCACCTCCTAAAACGCGCACACACACACACACACACACACACACACACACACACACACACACACACGGTCGACCTGTCTCTCCCTCAGCCCCTCCCAGGAGAGCACATGTAAACACACACACTCACACAGTCAAACACATGCAAATACACACCTCCTCACCCCTGAAATTAAATCTTGCGACCCAAATTAAACTTCTGGGAGCTAGGGCAAAAGATTTCCCGAGTGTGTGTGTGTGTGTGTGTGTGTGTGTGTGTGTGTGTGTGTGTGTGTGTGTGTGTGTGTGTGCAGATGGTGGGTTGAGAAGTGTGAAGCCTACAGTAATCTCATCGTGTTGTGTTTCTTGATGTTTCCTGCCCACGTCTTGGCATTTCTCTATCATTTCTTCCTTCTTTTGTCGCCTTTGATGTTCTTCGTTGCTCTCTGTCTTTCGAGGACGCCATGATTGTTTGCGCTTCATCTGGTGACAAACGGTACTCAGCTACCTAACCTAACCAACCAAACCAGCAAACCTATCATAAACTAACGTACCAAACTTAATATAATATACTTTTACCCTAGGATAAGTATGTTAGGTTATATAGGTTTGGTTGGTTCATGATATCGACAACAATTCGTATAATGTAAAGTAGTCAGCGCCTCACCCTAGATTCGAGTTCAGGACGAAAAGAAAAAAGAAAATATCGCCCAAACAAAATATAAGGTTTTAATTCCTCCAGCTTGTTTTAGATATTGGTGAAGTGAGAAACAATTTTCTTCTGTAGACAATTTCGCAAAGATGCTAGTCTTGGGGGGTCAAGGTCTGACAGTGCTACCATGTTAGGTTTCTTCTGAGTAACTATGGAGAATAAATTTTTGAGATACTGATTAAGTTAATGATTTAGTGTATCTACGTTTATCTGTAACACTGAATAAATTTACTTTGTATTGGTATATCCAGTGATTGAATTAAGCTTACCTATTTTTTTTCTGAACAAGCTTTGGAAATTTAAACTAAATATATAATGTAAAAATGAAGCTGTTTTCTCTCACTTGAAACTGAAAAAAGTTGGCAATAGTTTATCTAACCTGACCTAAGCCAGTGGCTGAACTCTTCTACCTTAATACAAGCGTAAAACTGACAATGAACGTGTGGAACTGACAATGAGCGTGTGAAACTGACAATAAACGTGTGGAACTGGCAATGAACGTGTGAAACTGGCAATGAACGTGTGAAACTGATAATGAACGTGTGAAACTGACAGTGAACGTGTTAAACTGACAATGAACGTGTGAAACTGACAGTGAACGTGTTAAACTGACAATGAACGTGTGAAACTGATAATGAACGTGTGAAACTGACAGTGAACGTGTTAAACTGACAACGAACGTGTGAAACTGATAATGAACGTGTGAAACTGACAGTGAACGTGTTAAACTGACAATGAACGTGTGAAACTGATAATGAACGTGTGAAACTGACAGTGAACGTGTTAAACTGACAATGAACGTGTGAAACTGGCAATGAACGTGTGAAACTGACAGTGAACGTGTTAAACTGACAACGAACGTGTGAAACTGGCAATGAACGTGTGAAACTGACAAAGAACGTATTAAACTGACAATGAACGTGTGAAACTGACAACAGACGTATTAAACTGACAATGAACGTGTGAAACTGACAGTGAACGTGTTAAACTGACAATGAACGTGTGAAACTGACAATGAACGTGTTAAACTGACAATGAACGTGAAACTGACAATGAACGTGTGAAACTGACAATGAACGTGTGAACTGACAACGGACGTATGAAACTGACAATGAACGTGCGACAATGAACGTGTGAAACTGACAATGAACGTGTGAAACTGACAATGAACGTGTAAACTGATAATGAACGTGAAACTGACAATGAACGTGTGAAACTGCCAATTAACGTGAAACTGATAATGAACGTGTGACTGACAATGAACGTGTGAAACTGGCAATGAACGTGAAACTGACAACGGACGTATGAAACTGACAATAAACGTGTAAACGACAATGAACGTGAAACTGATAATGAACGTGAAACTGACAATGAACGTGTGAAACTGACAATGAACGTGTGAAAACCTGACAATGAACGTGTGAAACTGACAATGAACGTGTGAAACTGACAACGGACGTATGAAACTGACAATGAACGTGTGAAACTGACAATGAACGTGTGAAACTGACAATGAACGTGTGAAACTGACAATGAACGTGTGAAACTGACAACGGACGTATGAAACTGACAATGAACGTGTGAAACTGACAATGAACGTGTGAAACTGACAATGAACGTGTAAACTGACAATGAACGTGTGAAACTGACAATGAACGTGTGAAACTGACAATGAACGTGTGAAACTGACAATGAACGTGTGAAACTGATAATGAACGTATGAAACTGACAATGAACGTGTGAAACTGACAATGAACGTGTAAACTGATAATGAACGTAAAACTGACAATGAACGTGTAAACTGACAGTGGACGTGTTAAACTGACAATGAACGTGTGAAACTGACAACGGACATATGAAACTGACAATGAACGTGTAAACTGACAATGAACGTGTAAACCGACAATGAACGTGTGAAACTGACAATGAACGTGTGAAACTGACAATGAACGTGTGAAACTGACAATGAACGTGTGAAACTGACAATGAACGTGTGAAACTGACAATGAACGTGTGAAACTGACAATGAACGTGTAAACTGACAATGAACGTGCGAAACTGGCAAGGAACGTGTGAAATTGACAATGAACGTGTTAAACTGACGACTGTGCGAAATTTTGTCAATAATTGGTTACCTCACTGACAGTCATATAGTACCGCTGCTCGGCCTCTAACACCACACACTATACACGACAGATCTACACAGTCCTGGAAGCACATCAACAACTATTCCTCACACACTATACACGACAGATCTACACACAGTCCTGGAGACACACATCAACAACTATTCCTCACACGCACTATACACGACAGATCTGCAGTCCTGGAGACACACATCAGCAACTATTCCTCACACACCATACGACAGATCTACACAGTCGGAGACACACATCAACAACTATTCCTCACACACTATACACGACAGATCTACGGTCCGAGACACACATCAACTACTATTCCTCACACACTATACACGACAGATCTACACGATCCTGGAGACACACGTAACAACTATTCCTCACACACTATACGACAGATCTACACAGTCCTGGAGACACACATCAACAACTATTCCTCACACACTATACACGACAGATCTGCAGTCTGGAGACACACATCAACAACTATTCCTCACACACTATACACGACAGATCTACACAGTCCTGGAGACACACATCAACAACTATTCCTCACACACACTATACGACAGATCTACACAGTCCCGAGAACGCATCAACAACTATTCCTCACACGCTATGCGACAGATCTACACAGTCCGCAGGACACACATTAACAACTATTCCTCACACACCATACACGACAGATCTACGTCCTGGAGACATACATCAACTACTATTCCTCACACACTATACACGACAGATCTGCACGCGGTCGGAGACACACATCAACAACTATTCCTCACACTATACACGACAGATCTACACAGTCCTGGAGACACACATCAACAACTATTCCTCACACACCATACACGACAGATCTACACAGTCCCGGAGACACACATCAACAACTATTCCTCACACACTATACACGACAGATCTACACAGTCCTGGAGACACACATCAACAACTATTCCTCACACACCATACACGACAGATCTACACAGTCGGAGACACACATCAACAACTATTCCTCACACTATACACGACAGATCTACACAGTCACCAGACACACATCAACAACTATTCCTCACACACTATACACGACAGATCTACACGGTCGGAGACGCACATCGCAACTATTCCTCACACACTATACACGACAGATCTACACAGTCCTGGAGACACACATCAACAACTTCTTCACTCACACGCATACACGACAGATCTACACGGTCGGAGACGCACATCAACTACTATTCCTCACACACTATACACGACAGATCTACACAGTCCTGGAGACACACATCAACAACTATTCCTCACACCATACACGACAGATCTGCACACGGTCCTGGAGACGCACATCAACAACTATTCCTCACACACTGCTGCACGACAGATCTACACAGTCCTGGGGCCGCACATGTAACTATTCACACACACACTATGCGACAGATCTGCACAGTCCTGGAGACACACATCAACAACTATTCCGCACACACACTATACGACAGATCTACAGTCCTGGAACACACATCAACAACTATTCCTCACACACACATATACACGACAGATCTACACAGTCTGGAGACACACATCAACAACTATTCCTCACACACCATACGACAGATCTACAGTGGAGACACACATCAACAACTATTCCTCACACACTATACACGACAGATCTACACAGTCCTGGAGACACACATCAGCAACTATTCCTCACACACTATGCGACAAGATCTACACAGTCGCAAAGGTACGCACATCAACAACTATTCCTCACACACTATGCACGACAGATCTACACAGTCTGGAGACACACATCAACAACTATTCCTCACACACTATACGACAGATCTACACGGTCGGGGCACACATCAACAGCTATTCCTCACACACTATGCGACAGATCTACACAGTCCTGGAGACACACATCAACTACTATTCCTCACACACTATACACGACAGATCTACAGTCCTGGAGACACACATCAACAACTATTCCTCACACACTATACACGGCGGATCTGCACGGTCCTGGAGACACACATCAACAACTATTCCTCACACACTATGCACGACAGATCTACACAGTCGGAGACGCACATCCAACAACTATTCCTCACACTATACACGACAGATCTACACAGTCGGGACACACACATCAGCAACTATTCCTCACGCACTATGCGACAGATACACAGTCCGGAGACACACATCAACAACTATTCCTCACACACTATACACGACAGTCTACACACAGTCGGAGACACACATCAACAACTATTCCTCACACACTATACACGACAGATCTGCACACAGTCCTGGAACACACATCAACTATTCCTCACACACTATACACGACAGATCTACACGGTCGGAGACACACATCAACAACTATTCCTCACACACCATACACGACAGATCTACACGGTCGGAGACACACATCAGCAACTATTCCTCACACTATACACGACAGATCTACACAGTCCTGGAACACCACATCAGCAACTATTCCTCACACACTATGCGACAGATCTACACAGTCCTGGAGACACACATCAACAATAACTATTCCTCACACACTATGCACGACAGATCTACACAGTCCTGGAGACACACATCAACAACTATTCCTCACACTATACACGACAGATCTACACAGTCCTGGAGACACACATCAACAACTATTCCTCACACACCATACACGACAAGATCTACACAGCCCGAGACACACATCAACAACTATTCCTCACACTATGCGACAGATCTACACAGTCCTGGAGACACATCAGCAACTATTCCTCACACACTATACACGACAGATCTACACACAGTCCGCAAGAGACACATCAACAACTATTCCTCACACACTATACACGACAGATCTACACGGTCCTGGAGACACACATCAACAACTATTCCTCACACACACTTGCCACGACAGTCTACACACGGTCGGAACGCACATCAGCAACTATTCCTCACACACCCATGCGACAGATCTGTCCTGGAGACGCACA